TGTTTTCTTCCTTGCTTCCATTTCAGTTTTCAATTCTTGAACTGTTTCCATTACCTGTTTGATCGTTTTTTCTTGGTTTCCCAGGGTATCATGTACATATTTACTCATTTCTTCAAACTTTTGTTATACTTCTCATCCATTTCTATAAGGGCATTTTTTACATGTTGTTTAAGGGACACTATTGCTTTCATAAAGTCAATTTTTTCCACTTCTTCTGTGTTAGGGTGTTCAAGTCCTTCTGTTGTAAGATCATTGGGTTCTTGTGTTTTCATGTTGTTTTTCAGATTATTGGGTGAATTCTTGCCTTGGTGCCTGCCCATCTCCTCCTATCGATGCTATCTAATGGGTCTTTAAAATCGGGATCAGGTTTCCCTGCTGGCCAGGTGCTCCTCTTACGAAATGCCCTCGCTCTGTTTCTTGGCTCCTGCCGGGGGCCAAGATCCCTCTCACCCCTCAGAAGGGTCTTCAGGAACAGGACCAGGCTCCCCATTTGCCAGGGACATCGCCAACAAAAGGCCTACCTCTTTGATTTAATTGTAGTGGGGGCGATCTGCTCTTGGTGTTGCGCGCCGGTCCCCGCTGCCTGCATCTGCCGCCGCTGTGTCGGTCCTCTTTTTCTTTTTTTTCAAAGAGATCCCTGGGCCTGTACCCCCAACCCTATATAGATTATAATCAACCCCTAAATGATGTCCCTAACCCTGAGGACAAACTTTATTGGGACAGGGGACATTGTCTTCTAGATTACTTCCAGCTGTCATGAGGGTGATGTTCTTTCTAAAGGATCCTGTGAAAGTAAAATGATGGTTAAGTTCCAAGATTACTGCCTGGGATAATTGCAAATAGTCTCTGAGTATTTGCTGGAGGTCTGACCAGAACATTGTTGAAAGCGGTGGCGGGGCTGCGTCCCCAACACCCCAGCCGCTTGGCTAGCTTATGCCCGAAATAATAACACACAAACTGTATTCATTTAAGAACTGCTTGGCCCATGAACTCTAGCCCTTACAGGCTAATTCTCGCACCTGGACTAGCCCATTTCTAATAATGTTTGTAAGCACCCCAAGGTGCGCTTACCGGGAAGATTCTAGCCTCCGTCCATCATGGTGTCTCTGCTCCAGAGAGCAGAGCTGTTCAGTCCCTCTGGAAGCAGAGCAGAGTCTGACCTCACTTCCTCTTCCGCCCAGAATTCTATTCTGTTTACTCCTCCTATCTATGTTCTAAGCTATGCGGCCAAGCAGTTGGTTTATTACTTAACCAATGAAATCAACAGATTGATATATGACACTCCCACATCACTTCCCCTTTTTCTGTTTAAACAAAAAAAAGGCTTTAACTTTAACATAGCAAAATTACATATAACAAAAACAGTTATCAAGTAAAAATTACAAGCCCAGACATGATGGGCTAAATCCACTTAAAAACCTGAGAAACCTTAAAAATAAGGGAGAGTTTAACACAGATTTTTGATNTAGGGTGAGAAGGATGGAGTCAGGTGTTGCTGGACAGACCTTCTCCCAGTGTTTGTGTCTGCTTCCTGTCTGGTGACAGCAGAAAGATACACCCTTGAAGAGGGCCTAAATGTGTCTTGGGAGGTTGGGAGGCAGAAGGTCAGGGGACTTACATGGTTTCTCTCCTCTTCAGGACTCAGGGAAAGTGCCAGGCAGGTATACCTGTCTCTCCCAGATGCATAGACTTGAGACCCAGAAATCTCCCATGGCTTCTTATCACATCCGCCAGTACCAGAACAGAGACTATAAACGTGTCCTGGATTTGTTCATAAGTGGTATGGAGGAGCACATCCCTGCCACCTTCTGCCACCTGCTGACTCTGCCCCGGACCCACCTGCTATTACTTGGGGTGCCGCTTGCTGTGGTCCTGGTGTCTGGCTCCTGGCTGCTAGCTGCTATGAGCATCTTGTTTGTGCTCTTTCTGCTGAAGCTCCTTGCCAGACAGCCGTGGAAGAAGTATGTGGCCAAGTGTTTGCACACTGACATGGCTGACATCACCAAGTCCTACCTGAATGCACTTGGCTCTTTCTGGGTGGCTGAGTCTGGGGGAGAGGTGGTGGGCATCGTGGGTGGTCTACCAGTCAAGGATCCCCCATTAGGGAGGAAGCAGCTGGAGCTCTTTCACCTGTCTGTGTCCTCACAGCATCGTGGACAGGGGATAGCGAAAGCTCTGACCAGAACTATCCTCCAGTTTGCAAGGGATCAGGGCTACAGTGATGTCGTCCTTGACACCAGCATGTTGCAGAAAGGTGCTCATGCCCTTTACATTAGCATGGGCTTCCGGAAGACAGGACTGTACTTCATGGGTGCGTTCTGAAGATTAGTGGATATTCCAGCAATTCAATTTAAGCATTCCTTTCCTTCTGCTTAGCAGGTGGGATGAGACCTTTGTTCCTGTGCGGGAAGCACATCCCATTCACTCTTCATGAACCAGTGAACCCTGTCATGTCAGTGTAATGAGCAATAAACACTCCTTGCTGGTGCACACCATATTCTAATGCATGTGATGACTGAGTTGGGGCTTTGAAGGTTCTAACACACTCCTGGATTCTGGGGTGCCTGTGTTTTATATACCTACCCCTATTGTAGAGTTCTGCCTGTCTACCTTGGGATGGTTCATGAGTTGGGCAAGGGGCTGGAGACTGAAACATGCACACACAAAGGGGGTGTCACCCTGGAAACAAGAATGCTAAGAAGGCCAATTTTATTCTGTTCCAGGGCAGCTTATATAAGGCTCTCCTTGACTAATGGCCTTGTTCTAGCTCTGGGGATTTTTCAGCTGGAAGCCCAAGATAAACCACTCCCCTGCCATAAGAAACTCATGTGGGTCTCGTGCTCGGAACAGCAGCAAGCGTAGGAAAGCAAGTTGTTTACTCCCGCAGGCAAAGGGTCACAGAAAATTCAGGGTCTGAGCGTCTGCGGCTCCCAATACCCCAATACCTAATATATGTTGAAATAGGAGCGGCAGGGCTGTGTCCCCGGCACCCGGCCGCCCGCATGGCTAGTTTATACCCAGAAATAATTACACGGAAACTGTATTCTTTCAAACACTGCCTGGCCCGGCTAGGTCCAGTTTCTTATTGGCTAGCTCTTACATATTGTTCTAACCCATTTCTAATATTCTGTGTAGCCCACGAGCTGGCTTACCAGGGAGGATCTTAACCTGCATCTGTCTGGCGTGGGAGCATCATGGCGACTCACTCACTCAGCTTCTTTTTCCCAGAAATCTCCTCTGTCTACTCCGCCTACCTAATTTTCTGTCCTATGAGGGCCGAGGCAGTTTCTTTATTATTAACCAATGAAATCAACAGATAAGATACAAGACCCACCTCCATCATTTCCCCTTTTTCTGTTTAAACAAAAAAAGAAAGGCTTTAACTTTAACATAGTAAAATTACATATAACAAAACAGTTATCAAGTAAGAATTACAGTTACAATATTTATATCTATTTTATCTCTTATCATAACTAAGGAAAACTATAACTATTCATTCTTCAACTCCATCAAAGACTCCAGAAGGATATAATATTACCTATCAAACAAGAAATAAGAAAACTCTAGAAATGACAGAGACATCTCGCTGCCTGGACAGTCACCCAAAGTTCCTCTGTACCGTTGGGGCATCCATCTTCGGCCTACAGGCCCATAGTATCCAGCAGACATTCTCATCAAGCAAGAAATTCCAAAGACAGTTCAGTCACTTTTTGCTGTGTCCTGCAGAATGTCTCACAGACTCTTTCATGAAGCAGGAACCCCAAAAGGTCATCTCACCTTTAGGCAAGTTCAGCAGTCCTCTCTCTGCGGGTTCTCTGTGTCCAGTTTATGCAACAGTCCAGGCAAGAGCAGTTTCTTGCCCAAATGGCTATCAAACTCCATAAGGATTCTCTTCGATGCCCATCTTCCTCTTGAAATAGATTGGTGCTGCCAGGAGCAAATGTGTCTCATTGTCATGAAAAACCCTAAGTTATTAAAATATCTTAAATGCCATATTCTGCAGCCTTTGAAAGATATGAAGAATGCCTATCTAACTAAAATATCTCTCTATATATCTAGAAAATCTAACTAACATGACTACAAGCTTAAGTATTAGCGATGATTATCCATTAACAACCTATATTTCCTAATTATACATTACATTTTTAAATGAACTACACAATCACAATACCTTAATCAAGATCAAAAATACATATACATATAACAAAATTGACCATAAAATCCATACCAATGCAAATTATTCATATCTATATCATATCCCCCTTTAAATGTAAAAGAACATTTATAAACAATATTTGGGAACATGGGCGTAGTTTTTTCTCTACAAACTGCTTCCTGCTGAATAGGGGCGTCGTTAATTAGGTTGTTCATGATATAACCTGTATGCTAGTTTCATCTCAGTTGGCAATTGAGCGAAGCAATTTTTTGAGGGTATTCACAGCAACCTTTCAGGAGGGCGTGGTCTATCATACCAAATCGGAATAGATGCAATCCACAGGGTCTCATCCTCTGCAAAAACAAAAGAAGACCCTCTCCAAAGCATCATATCCTTAGACCCAAATTCTGAAATCATAATACCCTTATATCCATTTTGGTTTAGATTGGCAGCCCATGTAATGAAATGTCTCTCTGTACTTAGCTCCTTCACAGTCAAAAATTTTAAAGAAAACACAATGTACATAATCCAGACTCTCTGTGAATTTTCCATTTTTACGTGGCTTATATTTCTTTATTTCTTTTAATCTATAACTCTCTGTACTTCTGTACTCTGTCTCTTTAAAGACTTTACCCTTTTTCTTTTTAAGACATTAACTTTATTCTTTATATTCTTTTTCTTCTCTTTCCCAAGCCTACGTACATTTATCCAACAGTGTCTGAATCTGTTTTATTGTGAATCTGTAATTTCTTTACTATACAGGAGCATTTCTTAAAATGTTAAGCATTTCTTAAAAACTTAAGTTGCACCATTTACAGGTAATACGGTACTGCCTGTGTCCTGCCCAGTCTAAACCTTAACTGCACGGTTTTAAGGTAATTACGGTAGTTCCTGCCTGAGATCAGCACAGTTCAGCATGGAGCAGCCGCTCCTGCCTCAGAGTCATTTGGTGCCCCTGAACCATTCACAGTTTCAGGCACACAGCAAGTCCACATTGGAGCCGCACTCAGCAGTTTAACTCTGAGACTGAGTGTGCAGCACAGAAACTCTTTTCATCCAAGTTACAGCCAAATCTGACATGCAGAGCACTGCGCAGTCTGAAAATGCGTCTCTGTATAGCGGCAGGAATCCGCCATGCTCTTCCGCCTGCCTAAGCCTGATTCTGCCTTCTGCCCAGGTGCAGGCGGGGAGCTCTGAGCCATCTGCACGGTCTCAGAGCACTCTCCTCCGATCCCAAGCGGAACACAAACATCCAGTCCCATAAAAGCCTTGAAATGCTTTAAAGCCAGAGTTCATGCTGGCAGCACAGCCCCCAGGAAGCCGCGCTTTAAAATGATGTAGCTTATTTTTCTGCTGTTGTAGCTGAATCAGGAATCTCTCTACAGCACGCCACCAACAAAACAGCAAAAATCTGTGTTAAACTCTCTCTCCCTTATTTTTAAGCCTTCTCAGGTTTTTAAGTGGATTTAGCCCATCACGTCTGGGCGCCATCTGTTGAAATAGGAGCGGCAGGGCTGCGTCCCCGGCACCCGGCCGCCCGCATGGCTAGCTTATACCCAGAAATAATTACACGGAAACTGTATTCTTTCAAACACTGCCTGGCCCGGATAGTTCCAGTTCCTTATGGCTAGCTCTTACATATTGTTCTAACCCATTTCTAATATTCTGTGTAGCCCACGAGCTGGCTTACCAGGGAGGATCTTAACCTGCGTCTGTCTGGAGCGGGAGAACCATGGCGACTCCTCACACAGCTTCTTTTTCCCAGCATTCTCCTCTGTCTACTCCGCCTACCTAATTTTCTATCCAATAAAATGGGCCAAGGCAGTTTCTTTATTAATAAGAAATCACTCCCACATCATTTCCCCTTTTTCTGTTTAAACAAAAAAGAAAGGCTTTAACTTTAACATAGTAAAATTACATATAACAAAACAGTTATCAAGTAAGAATTACAGTTACAATATTTATATCTATTTTATCTCTTATCATAACTAAGGAAAACTATAACTAACCATTCTTCAACTCCATCAAAGACTCCAGAAGGATATAATATTACCTATCAAACAAGAAATAAGAAAACTCTAGAAATGACAGAGACATCTCGCTGCCTGGACAGTCACCCAAAGTTCCTCTGTACCGTTGGGGCATCCATCTTCGGCCTACAGGCCCATAGTATCCAGCAGACATTCTCATCAAGCAAGAAATTCCAAAGACAGTTCAGTCACTTTTTGCTGTGTCCTGCAGAATGTCTCACAGACTCTTTCATGAAGCAGGAACCCCAAAAGGTCATCTCACCTTTAGGCAAGTTCAGCAGTCCTCTCTCTGCGGGTTCTCTGTGTCCAGTTTATGCAACAGTCCAGGCAAGAGCAGTTTCTTGCCCAAATGGCTATCAAACTCCATAAGGATTCTCTTCGATGCCCATCTTCCTCTTGAAATAGATTGGTGCTGCCAGGAGCAAATGTGTCTCATTGTCATGAAAAACCCTAAGTTATTAAAATATCTTAAATGCCATATTCTGCAGCCTTTGAAAGATATGAAGAATGCCTATCTAACTAAAATATCTCTCTATATATCTAGAAAATCTAACTAACATGACTACAAGCTTAAGTATTAGCGATGATTATCCATTAACAACCTATATTTCCTAATTATACATTACATTTTTAAATGAACTACACAATCACAATACCTTAATCAAGATCAAAAATACATATACATATAACAAAATTGACCATAAAATCCATACCAATGCAAATTATTCATATCTATATCATATCCCCCTTTAAATGTAAAAGAACATTTATAAACAATATTTGGGAACATGGGCGTAGTTTTTTCTCTACAAACTGCTTCCTGCTGAATAGGGGCGTCGTTAATTAGGTTGTTCATGATATAACCTGTATGCTAGTTTCATCTCAGTTGGCAATTGAGCGAAGCAATTTTTTGAGGGTATTCACAGCAACCTTTCAGGAGGGCGTGGTCTATCATACCAAATCGGAATAGATGCAATCCACAGGGTCTCATCCTCTGCAAAAACAAAAGAAGACCCTCTCCAAAGCATCATATCCTTAGACCCAAATTCTGAAATCATAATACCCTTATATCCATTTTGGTTTAGATTGGCAGCCCATGTAATGAAATGTCTCTCTGTACTTAGCTCCTTCACAGTCAAAAATTTTAAAGAAAACACAATGTACATAATCCAGACTCTCTGTGAATTTTCCATTTTTACGTGGCTTAT